GCCCCCCGCTCCCCGCTCACCCGCAGGCCCGGCCAGGGACGAAAGGTAAGGCGGGCGGCAGCGCGGGCTGGGCCCAGACAGCGACGCTGAGGCGACGAGACGGCGACGGTCCCTTGGCAGCCGCCGCGGCAAGGAGCGATCCAGTCGCGCCGACGACGCCTCTCGGCCGGGCCGGCGCCGCGCACTCGCCGCTGGCGAGGAGGCCCCGGAGACGGGACCCCCGGCGGCCCCGGTGCGTGGCGGCAGCAGCGCCCGCAGCGCCCCCGGCCCGGCCTCGCCGCCCCCCCCCCCGCGCCGAGCGCTACCCGGTCCTGCTCCCCCGCACAAGCTTGGCGGCGTCTGCCGGCCGGGAGCGCCCATTGGCTGCCGCGCCGCGTGATGTCAGGCGCCCTCCCCGCGCCATTGGCCCGGGCCCGTGTGTGTACACACACCGCTCGCCAATCCGCCGGGCCGGGGCCGGGAGGGCGGGGCGGAAGGGCGTGGCCGGCCAGGACCCGCGGCCGCCGCCTCTCCCTCGCGGCGCGCGCCGGCCGCTGTCAGGGCTCGGGTTCGATCCCCGCGACGGCTCCAGGCGGCCGCGCCTGTGCCAGCGGCGCCCAGGTGCTGCGGGCGGTACGAAGTGTATAAATACACAAATGCATAAATGTATATAGGCTGTATTTACACACAGCGCGCGGCGCCGCGCTGGCTGCGGCCGCCGGCCGTGCCGCTTATCTGCGAGGAGCTGGTGGGGCTGCGTCCCGGGATGCAAAGTTCAGCCCCGCCGCGGGCTCGGCGCCGCGGGCGCTGCAGGAACGTCCGGCCCCGGCGCGGGAGCCGGCGGCAGAACGAGGCCAGGGCCCCCTGTGCATCGGGCCCGGCTCTAGCTCTGTGCTCCCCCTCCGAACAAAGGCTCCCGGGCCAACAAAGCGGCGGCGGGGCCGGGGAGCAGCGACCGCGCCCTCGCACCTCCGCCCCGAGAGAGCCGGGACCCGGCCCGCAGCCGCAACAACCCAGGCCCAGCTCGGCGCCCTGGAAAAGCCTTAAGAAGTGTTTGATTTCAACATTTCCTTACCGCTGTAAAAAAAACTGTTTCAACGAAGCAGGGTATATAGGCTGTATATACCCTGCAGGGTGACGTATTCTTACAGAGACCATATAAATAGAAAGCACTTCTGGGAGGAAAAAATAAATTCGGCACTAGTTCCATTCAGCGCAAAGATGCAACATTTGTTAAGTCTTTCTGGAGTGCAGCCAGGCACACATCCCAGGCGTGCAGTTACCCATTCTGCATAATTCTCTAACAAAAATGCAGCTTAATGCACTGAGCAAGCTGAGCAAAACAAGGCTTATGGGGACACAAACACTATTTATGTGCTTTAGATCCCTGCAGATCATACATATACTAGATCAAACATGGTAAACTTCTGTTTTTCTTGCATTACAGAAAACACTAAATGCTCTAGAAAGACATATTTTTGATGCCGTCCCCTTCACTAAAAAGGGAAGTAACATCAAAAACCCAGGTGTTCAGCCTATAGAGTTCTTAAATGTCAATCTAAGGACTATTAGCAATATTAGCAAACAAGGCCTTTATATTTATTTCAATGGGGCAGTTTACAACTGAAAATCTTGACGTGCCTAGGAATTTGCAGATTGTGGCTTTAGTTTCTTTTCATCCTCTATAAAAACTTCCATACAATGTAACAAGACCTTTTATCAATATTGGCAGTGTTACGCAAGATATATTCACAAAAGCAATAGAAATATGCAAGCTGTTGTGTATTCTCTTGGAGCCCCCTCTACCAGGTACAACCACAACCACTAATATGACACATGCCCTGACAGAAGTGCAGAAGGCACAACACTACCTTCCAAAGGAAGCAAACCAGAAGCAACCAGGTTGGCTGGTTTACTGCACTATTATTAGTTACCACAGATAAACAAATACTTGAACCCAGCCTCAATAAAGACACTTGGGCTTCACAGATCTCTTTTTAGTTCATTGGTTTATTTACTTCTTTGCAAGAAACACTGATGAGCTGAAGTCAGATACTGGAACTGATTATGAACATGAAAAATAGCCATTTTAACCCCCAAGGAGAGAAACAGAAGGAAGGTCACTGCTGTAGTTTGCATTTGCATTCAACAGCAAGTTGCAGACTAACTCTATGTACACACATCTATCCATATATATACACACAGAGTTGAGTTTGAAGGTGGTGAAACAATGACCCAACTTGCATGAGTGTAAGTATGCTACTTATGTAACATTCTAAACCAATACACGGTCTTTCAGAACTTGCACAAATCCCAATTTTTACCCCAGAATGAAGGCTGCACTGCAAAAAACCCCTTAGAATTGGGTTTTTTAGACATGCTAAGGTGTGTGTTGAGCAGCTACACCTGCCCAGCAGGAAGCTCTTGTGTCTCCCTCCAGAACCTGTCCGGTGTCCCAGCCCTAGAACACCACCTTGCTCCCCCTGGCCAGTCAGATTCCTCCTGGATGCCACCTCTTCTCCCTTTCACAGCACATCACTTTTCAGTATTTGCCAGTTTTACTGCATTCCTGCCAGCCCACAGCCCTTGCTGTGATAACCTGCACAAACATTAACCCAAAACAGGCTCCACCTCCACCACCATCCCTTTTCTCCTGCTCAACCTGCCCCGACTCCCCACAAAGCCTAAACTAACACACTGCCCAACTTCTGGGTCAGAGCACTGCCATATTCCCCGACTCCCCTGCAGGACTGTCACACCTCTTTGTTTCACGAGGGCCTCACACCTTTGTGCTCTTTAGCTCAGACCAGTAACTCAACGCCACCGACTGGCAGGAAATGGTTCTTACCTCTTTCTCTTCCTCTGGTGAGCCTCTTGTGCTGTGCCCAGATCCTGGAAATAGTGAGACTAGTTGAAAGATCTTGCTACAGAGAAGGTAGTAGGCTTTCAGTAACTCAGTATTTTGCTTTTTTTATTTTCTCCTGACAGGAAAGCGAGTCTAAATGCTCTTGTTAAAAACAAATGAGAGAACTGAACTAATTTTACATAAAATTAGCTGTTAGAATAGAGCAGAAAATACTGCTTAAAAGAAAACAGTACTCAAAAATCTTGGCCAAGTTCATTACAGTAAGCTTTTTAACACGGCTGACTTGATTTTTTTTTAGCTATGTAACAAAATTCATACAGCTGCTCAGTATTTTCAACTATCTGAAGACTTTTTCATCTGCCCTTTCTCTCGATATACAATTAATGTAAAAGTAGCAAGACTCCTCCAACAATAGAGGGATTGTTGTTGTTACGAGGCATAATTTTTCATGCCACATAGTCCCCACATATTTACTAGGACTATGTTATGAATGATCCAACTGCCAAACTGATATGAGGTTATCTACGATCAGCACGGTGGGATCTGTGAAGGCAGAATGCCCAGAGATCATTAACACATCTCAACTGAATTGCCAATCTTCACATGCCAATGAGCTGCACTGCTGTCCAATCCCAAATACAACATTAAAGCTCAACTGAATATCTTAAAATGATGAAACTGCAAACTAGTTAATATTTGTAATTTTGTATTGTTACCTTTACTATCAAACTCAGCTGATAGAAAATGTAAAATAGCATATACTTTCCAAACTAATGAAAACACTTGAGACAAAAAAATTAAACAAAAAGCAGTAAAAGCTGTCATATTTTAAATAAAAGTTACTGTGAGTGAGGTTCTAAAATGGTCTTAATGCCCTTCTGTGCAGCAAATATTGGGGCAGCACAGCACCTGTAAAAACATATCTAAAGCTTATTTCAAATCCCTTATCAATTAACAGGTACCACTTTCAGATAACATCACATTAAAGATTTCATGGGAAGATAAAATCAAATTTTTTGGTAAAAGATAAGCAAAAGAGGCTTTGATCAGTAATCATATTTCTTCAAAATATCAGTTAGTCTGCTCAGTCCTTGGGCAATTTCATGTCACAAGCTGTGGCAAATGTTCTGATCTCCAAAGGCTGGTCCATCCTGGCAGACTTTCAGACACCCCTCTTTTGTTTCAGAGCTCAGTACTTTGAACCTCTCCACAACAGAGCTCACAGCTCTGCAGGCCATTTGTAAGGTTCAACTGGTAAATATACCAAGGCCTTTCCACATCCTTAATTTGCAGCAAAGTTTCTCTCCTTAGATTTGAGGCTAGTGAAAGGAAAACAGCTTAAATTCCTGCTTCAAATTAAACAGTGGCAGTGGTAAAATGGTTATCCAGAGTGTGTCCTCCAGGATACCACCTGGAACAAAAGGAATATATAATGTCTTGGGTATCTTCTCTCTCTAGCTGTGCCATTGCCAGGGTGAAAACCACCACCACATGCAGGTGAAGTATCAGGCAAATGGTGCAGCGTTGCCTTCAGCAGAGTGATTTGAACAGAATCAGGTTCAGCTCCTGGCAGCAACACTGCCTGCTCAGCCCAGCTAAACCTCCAGGCTGTCAACCTGAGTCAAGGAGCCTTCAGCAAAAGGGCAATTGGTGATGAGAGGCAGATGTTGATGAAACTAAACTCCCTCAGTGAGAACAAAATGTAGAATTGTGACTGAGGCACAAACTTTTGCCCAGAGTGCCAGACTTAAAGCCTTTCTGCTTGGCCTTGGAGAGAGAACCTTCTTGCAAATGAGCATTTTCTTTAGCAGTGACTTTGTGATGACAGAGGAAAATCCCAAGCTGAATACACAGGTGTTAAAGCAAAGCAATTGTTTGAGATATGCAGTAACTGCAGAATCTTACCTTACAGCAGGAGGAGGAGTGGAGGGAATCTCTTGGAGGCACTTAATACTGGAGTCTTGGCACTACAGCCTGGCGTATTACTAGAAATCAGCAGACACACTTGCTTCTGCACTTCATTTAAGGATTCACATTAAAGAAGGTTAAGGAGAATTGGAAAGATACCCAGAGAAAATAAAATTGCCAAGATGTAGCACAGGTTGAAGGGCAGAATGTAACAGAAGAACATGAAAAATGGCACATTAAGCATAGGCTGACAAGTAAATGAGATGGAGGCTGAACACAGCTAGAAGAGATGCTCCAACTGAGGGTACATGATTGAAGGAAATTAAGGAAATGGTGTATGATTTGACCTTCTGTGTATCAGCACAAGAAAATTAATTATGGTTCTTAAGCCCTCTTTAAAAGATGTTAAGTCTGTGAACATTTCTTATCTCCAGTGTCTGTGGAATACAAATCACCCACAGCTTGAACTTGATATTATTCTGAAATTAAAATGTTTAATCATTTTACATTTTGGAAGCTGATTTACAAATAATCCTGAGAAAATTACAATAATTTAACATCAGAAATAAGCAATTATATAAGAATAATTAACTACATGTTTATTTAATTATATTTTATTTGTTTAAAAAATACAAAAGTAATTTATAGCTTCAAAAATAGACTTTTTACTCCCTTTTAGTTAATAGTAATAGGATTTAAAAATGGCCTTGAAGATACTAACAGTACAGATATTTACAAGTTAGACAGCATACCTGGAACTAGTTTTAATGTATCTGTGCTGGTCACTCCAGATAAGATTGCTTTATAAAATTTTTAAAAATTGAGCTACAAGCTAGCTACAATGTATCAGCTACAAAAGTCCTGGATTTTTAAATGGAGTGTTAAAAGTCTATTTGCTTGTGTATTTCATCTTGATCTAGTGCACAAATAATGCGACCACAGCACCCGGTGTCAACCAAAGGGTGGCAACAGACTACTACCAAAACAATGTCTTTCTACACAAATGAATTCCTCACAACCCAGCCCCAACAATCATTTTGTTTCTTAGCAATGCCTAGGGGAGCAAATGTGCCTTTTACTCTTCCTGGATGATTAACATATGCAAGATTTTAAAGATCCGAAGGGAGGCGAGCTGCTCAGTGCAAAACCCACCACAGTGAGAACAGCCCATGGGCAGTACATGGCAGGATCTGAGCCGCTTGGCCACCCAAAGGAGGTCACTGAAGGGACACAAATGCTGCAGCTGGACCACAGCTGCCACAGGGATGATGGGAAGGTTCATTACACCATGGTAAGTAATCCAGCAGCAGGGGGGGAACTGAAATACCACACAACTTATAATACACCATCACAAATTTCAGTTATGGTTTTTTACTGTCCTGTTAATGTCAAGATGTTATAAAATATGAATTAAACCGTCTTAATTCTTCTACAAGTAAAATACCAATTTCTACCAGTGTGGTGAGTGTTTCATTGCTTGCAGCCATGCATCCATAGCAGGTCTGTATTCCTCTGAATCCTTTTGGGGCTCAAACACTGCTTCTATTTGCCTTAGCTTCTTTAGTTGTTTTTTGTCTGTCCAAAATCCTATAAACAGAAAATTCATTCTCCAGCTCAACTGCAAATATGTTATTTTTGAGTTGTTTTAATCTATTTCCAAGAGATCCAAAGCAGAAACACAGTAAGAAATAATGACAGCTTTTCTTTTTACTCTACCAGCAATTTTCTCAGAGGGAAGCATATTTTTAATATTGTGAAAATCCTTTCCAGTAGGATCCACTTGTTTGGAATCCTGACAACAGCGCATCTGCTTAACTGGGATGGTTTCCAAGGAACAGCTCTGGTACACTGAAGTTCTCTTAGGTTTCATCACAAAGTGCTTTTGGTTGCAGGTCCTTCTCAACAAAGAAGGGCCACAGAAACCAAGACTTAGCTGCTTTCCTACTGTCTTAAAAACTGTATCAATAGCAAGAAACAGCTGGTGTTAGAGATTCCTATCAATTTATGTTATTAAATCATTCTTGTCTGTCAAGGGTCTCAACTTTCTTGCACTTTTAACTGCTGAATAAGTCTTACCCAAGCACACAGTTTTTACCTTCATTTGCGTTGAAAGCACTTCAACAAAAACATGTATTGTAGGTGCATATTAAGCAAAACCATCAACAGTTTGGAGCTTTCCGTCTGGTTAAGAATATGAAACAATTCTGTGTGAGTAGAGCTGTTTTTCCTGTTAATAACTAATTTTGCACTTCCATTCCTGTGAAAGCCTCAAAGGATAAAGGCTGTGTTCACAGAGCACAGGACACAGCCTCACTGGGAGTGACAGAGCTGCAGGTGAGCACAGTGGCTCCCTGGCCACATGGTCCATCCCCAGCCAGCAGCACTCAGGCAGCACCAATATGGGAATGGACATGGAAAGTCTGAGTCAAAGAAGAGGAGGCAGCAAAGATAGGGCACACCTTTCTTCTCTAGTAATACATCCTTCTAATGGTACTGTTCAGAGAAACATAAACACTATTTAGATTCCCACAAAAATAGCTAAAGTAATCCGTTGGAGGGGGGGTTACAGTTATTTGAAGTTATGCCCTTTTTTGTCTGATCTCTTTTCTACTGTATTTACAACATGCATTATAAAGGGGGGAAAAAAAGCCTTTTTAACGTCTACGTACCTGAAGCAAGGCCTGCTAGAAAAGCTGCACCAAGACTAGACATTTCCACATTTGCAGGTTTTTCTATTTTCTTATTAATTAAATCTGATGTCATCTGCATGACAAAACTATTATTACTGACACCTCCATCAGCTCTATAGGGAGAAGGAAAGAAGTAGTCAAAAAAATGTGTTAAGTGCTTATTGCCAGCATTTCAGAAAACAACGTTTGGTATTTCACACTTATGCATAAATCTTCTTGTCACTCATGAACAAATGCATTTCCACTTTATGGGTAAATTTAGAGGATATTGAACAAGGTGCCAAAAAAAAAAAAAAAAAAAAAAAAAAAGAAGAAATAAGTTTATAAACTTGTAGAGGAATGGGAGGCAAACAGGGACACAGGACTCTATCAAAAGCTCTGAAAGTTCTGTCTTTTAAATCTATGCATCATCTTGGCTGAAATATTAGGGTTTATACCAGAACTTTTACACAGTTACCACCACATTATGAAAACAGTCAAAACCTTACACCAAACAAACCCTTTCACGTGTTCTCAGATCTGGAAAAGTACCATTTTCCTTAATACCAAATCTTTGTATTAATTAGCTAAAATGCCTTCACAATTGCTTCTTTTTAAGAGGAAGTTCAGAATGAGGCTTCCATATGTCTATTTTCCTAATTTGAGACCAATTTAATGGAGAATACGAGAACTTATCCGTGATCTTTAATCATCTGAGACTTCGAAGTAACTACTCTTGCAAACAAAGTAACTCTAACAAAAACCAATCTTTGAAATGTCCTAGACAGGTTCATTGTGCCCTTGTACTCCAATACCAGCCATGTATGGAGCTGATGTTCTATCATATGTGGTGCAGAGAAGACCTCTAGTGTTTATTGCTACAGAAAGTGTTAGGTAATAAAACTCATTAGTTATAGGACATGCAGACTAAAGCTGAGGGCTCTTTCTTTGTGCTTTCCTTGATGGTGTTGAGACAAGCAAAGAGGAGTAATGAAAACAATGCCCAGAAACTAGGAAGGAACAAGGAATACAGGACAACAGCTAAAAAAGAAAGGAGTAAGTTTATGGGATAAAAACAACAACAAAAAATCAAAGGTAATTGACAGATGCAAAAGATGTGTGGATGTAAGGGTGGTAGAGCAGTTTGAAACCCTACTGAGAACCCCACTGAGTGTGTCTCATTATGTTTTAATTTTTAATCCACAAGCTGAATTGCTACTGATTTTAGTTAAGTAATACAGACCCTATATAAAACTGCAATTTTATATGCATGAATAAAAAATAACATGATCATACAATTTAAGGTTTCTATTGCAATGTAAATGGAATCAGAATTCTAATGCTCCCTAGGCCACATTTTAAGAGTTTAAGAGTTTACTCTTTTAATGTGACTTTTCAAATTTTGGATGTAATTCTCTATATTAAAAAGCTTCCTAAGTAATCAAAGTTCTTGTACTTTTCATCTTTTTATTAAACCCCTAACCCTGGCTGTTACTTCACCTTTGCCTGCTCTCTCCCAATATGTGATGGAAAGCAGAAACTTTTACCTCCTCCCACTTCTGTACTCTTGCTTTTTTTCCCACTGAGAGTCTGATTCTGACATGCCTGCCAGTCTGTTCCTCCTCTGCAGAGGTCCAGGAGGGATGGGAATGCTCACCTCTGCTCCTGACTGCAGTGCCATGCTGACCCCTGGCTGCCCGAGGGAGGAATTTCATTGCAGAGCTTTCTGAGCCTCAGAGGCCTGGAGCTTCTGACAACTGGTGTGCTCAGAGAAGGTCCCTACCAAAACGTGAAATGTGGTCTTCCAGCAATGTTTAATTCAGCTAAATGTTGTACAAGCACATTCTAGGGATTACAGTTGCCTCACTAAATTGGATATGGTTCTTCAAAGATTAAAGCAAAACTGATGTCTAAAACTCATCTCCCTCTTTCCCTCACAAACAGAACCAGTTTTTACCAATGTCTTCCAAAAATTATCTGTGAAAGACCTAGGACAGAAAATGTCAGTATGAAAGAATGATGACAAAGGGTAGAATGAGTTTTGTGGTAGGCATTGCTATATGCACTCTAGCACTACCTGAAAACATGAATATGCCTTCTTTTTAATTTTTAATAATTACAGCAGTTGATTACTCCCCCACTAACAACCACCAATGCCAATAGCTGTGGGTAGACTCTACTGCTGCTTCAGTGACATTAACATTTGACTTGGAAATCATCTACTTCTAAACAGCAGAATTTTTACAGTAAGAGAAAATGCATAGTAAAGCTCAAACCTGTTTAAAATCAAACTCTCATATATCAAATTTAAAAGTTACAGGAAACTTACCGAATAGTTCGAAGAGGAATGTGCACCTTCTTCACAATGACATCATAAAGCAGCTTGTTTCTTTAAAAAAATATTTAGCGGAATTAAGCATCATATATTCCATAGAGTGTTTTCAGTATCTACTTAGTCAGAAAATAAATGCAAGGCAAGAAAGGCCTCAGTTCTGTTAGAACTGCTGCAATATCTAAAAAGTTTCTAGAATGCATAGATGAACAACCCAAACCCACTGAAACTGATGTTTGGTCTTTGTCACTGTTACAAAGGCAAAGTATGGCTAAATCATGGCCCATTCTATATCAAGTCTCTGTAGAAGGTTAATTTTTCCCACTGAAAGTTACTGATAGGTTTCTAGAGATGCAACTGTTGATGTAACAAGTGGCTTTGAGTGAGGAAAGCAGTCCAACTGGAGTTAGCAGACTAACTGGAGTTTATCCAGCTATTCTGTAAGGGGAATATCTGAAGCCTTCAAGCTTGACTTTTTCCAGAAACCATTTCATTTAATGGGAGAAAATCTAAACACAAAGGATCTCTACTTTTTTCTAGCTATTTGTATGCAGTATTTGAATGAGATGGATGAATTCTTAACATCCCTTAACATCCTTTTCAAGACACCCATATGTCAGTTCAGAAATTACTGCATCTTATGTTCAGGCTTACAGTGCAGAAGGAAATGCCTTAGAAGCCAATTGCAGCAGTGCTGCCCTGCTCCAAACATCTTTTCTGAGCTCTTTGCAGGAAATTTATATGCCCAAACTGATGCCTCTAAGGCATCAAAAGCAAAGCTGTTGCCTACAAGGAAGGAATCACATCAGTGCTCCCTAACTGGTCAAGCACAGTGCGAGCCAGGCACAATTCATGATCAGCCCCACAGTTTGAGGCATGTTGGGGGTTGGCAAAGCAGTGACATACTGATGTGGTATCAGCAGTGACATCTTTAGCCTTCACAGATCGGGAAGCTGCTGTCCATTCACATCTTTTAAAACTTTTAAGAGGGCTGTTACTTTGTTTTGTAAAACACCAAAAATTCAAACTTAAACAAAAGCTGATATAAAACTTTCAGCTTCAAGGATACTTTAAACACAGCTGGAGAGGACTACAGTTTCTGACAAAACAGTGTCAGGAGAGGAAGGACAAAGAATATACTTTCAAAACATGCAGAAAACAACATTATTTAAGAATCTCTATATGGTTACTTAATGATAAAAAATCTGGACTAACAAATATACACAAATTTATTTGTAAAGTGTTAAAAAAAGGAAGCAGCTAAAACTCCTTTCCAGTGTAACAGCAGTGTATTGTACAAACTGCAAAAGTCCATGTATCCATTTAATACTGCCAATCTAAATAAAAGAACACATGAGAAAATACAAGCCAGTTAATTTAGCAAGCAGTACCTGAAAGCTACAGACTCCAATATAGCTCGAACAAGGTGGTTTCTGTTAGTGGAAGGTTTCAGCCCCATGAAAGAGGCACAAAAATATGGGTCATCCCCAGAAATCTGCAGAAAAGATGTCACCATGAGTTCAGTGAATAGTATTTGTAGGCTTTTGTGAAAGAAGTAAAAGAGCAAGAAAAAAATAACTTACGACAATTACAGGCAGCATAGTGAAAGAAGAAAATTGAGAACAATATGTAAGCGGTATATAGTGTTATTTTAGCTTACTCAGCAAACAGTTTAAATTGTTTCTTTCAACAGCAAAACATTTAAGTGACTTCTTCCAAATCAGAAAAACTAAAAAAGACTAATCCACATGATATCCCTTTAAAATACATTTAAAATGTACACCAATTGTCTAGGACAGGGCACACTCATGTTACTGATATTGCTGTTCTCTAACAAAGGGAGCAATGGCATTTAACCATTCTGATATGACAATGGCCTTCATGTATTGTGATGAGCAACAGACAATAAGAACCTCAACAGTACATAATATAAATACTGTGATAAGATGTAAATGATTACCTTTGAAAATGTCAAAATTATTTTTTAATTGGGTTATTAAAATATAATCTTCATTTAATTCATAATATTTTTACCTGCAAACCTGGGATGAAACAAACACCTTGAGAATCAGCAGCATTCTGTGCCATTTCTGCTGTTTCATCTACATTGGTGAAAAGTTCTGTAAAGATACACAGGTTGTAGGATGTTATTTCCTTCAGTTTCTTCATTTTGTCTCATTACGAGAAAAACATCTCAGACTACTCCAGACTACTCATTTTTTAATATTTTCAAACTACACATTCTAAGGGAGACAATCTCTTCTCCTGTATTTCATGTCCACCGGTCACATCAATAATCCCAAACTATTCAGATGAAGGCTAAACTCAAAAGGATCCTCTCCTATCTGCTGTGCTGTAGCCTTTTAATCTTCAAGACATCAATGGGAATTAAGAATGATAATGGCACCTAAGAGTGCTACAACCTTAGATTCATAGAACGTATTTTTCCTCCACATTGTTACTGTCAGTCCAACAATGACCTAACTGACTAACTTACTGTCACCTAACAACTACAGAGAAATTCCTTAATACCCACATTTTATCAGCACTCTTAGTATTTTTACAAGGGACACACAAGGTAATACATCACCTCTTACACAATAATGCCTCTTGGATAGACACTGCTTTTATTCTCTGTTTTATTCTCAGCCAGATGACTCCTTTCATAACTCTACAGACATTCCTCTTTAGCTTGTTCTTCACCCACATCAAACTCTTGTACTAACATCCCTCTTCCACAGTTGTTAACTAATGATGTCCTTATGTGGCCACATAAATTGATTTTACAGAAGACTAGAGGTCTTCTGTATATGAGAGATACTGCTTTTTCTTGTCAAAAAAAGTGAATTTTCCTATTAAAGGTAAATTAGTTTAATCTAGCTCAACTTATCTTTGAAAAACCCACCTTGGTAACTTATCAGGAGTTTCAATTTACCATTGTAACCTTTATGAGTTTGTGGGAAAACCATGGATTCTACTGTGCTCAGACTAATAAACCTACATCATGTTTTTCCCTTCTTATTGTCTTTGCTATGACTGAATTATACGTATAGTACCTCTATGCCAGCACAGAAAATCAAAAATGAAGTAAGACTGATGTCATGCTGAAATTCCACATACTACTACTTCTTAAAAATTCTTAGAAGTTATAGGATTCCACTAAAAGAAGTCCACTAAACTAAGTTTGCCTTGCTGCAGAAATTACTATTTCTAAACTTTTACCACTATTGTGTCTCATCTTCATCCCTGTTGGGCCTCACCACCCTTATTGAGGCCATTAGCTTACCTTGTGTTTTGGCCCAATTCCTTCTGTAGAGCTAAAGTTTTCCCATTCTCTAAAGCTGATAAAAGTTTCTGAATTCTGCTTCTCTGCAACAATATTTTCAGAAAATAAAGGCCTTACTTGTTACAGAGTTTAAAGCAGCTTGCCTTTTATTTATCCCATTTCTAAATCTTCCCCCCCCTTTTTTTCCTATGGTAGCAACTGATCATTTTACTACTGACTAGCTAAAAATCCTTTATACTTCTGCATAAACCAACGATATCCATTTTAAGTACAGATAAGTTCAATATGGATAATTACCCATTTTAATTATGGAATCTGAAGTAGCAAGCTTATATATGTAGCACTGACACTTGAGTCTGCAGCATTGAACTGCGTAATGAACTGAGTAATTTCCTCCAAAGCCTACTGGCTGTTACTCTCTAGGCTTAGTCAAACGTTGGAGGAAGATGTGAGGACCAATCTGAGTCACACTTAACCCTTAGGGGCACATACATGTACACATGCATCTAAAGCTGACAGCTTGAAGGAATGTGGAATTTTGTGTGAGTTACACTTGAGGAAAACCCTTCCCAGACAGTCCAAAGTTTGAGACATTAATCACTTTTTTCTCATCCTAGTAAAAAATGTAATATATTTCTAAGTAAGACAAGTAAATTTTGACATTCTAATTAGAATACTGAGAACAGTTGTTCTATGAACAATCAGTAGGTTTGAACATCAGCTACTACAAAGGTAGTATTTTTTTAGTCTGTCATTAAACTGGAATGCCAAACCTTTCATTACAAAATAACAACAACCAAAAGGCACATTACATCCACGCGAAGCAACAGTTACTTGCAAAGCTCTGTTATTTTCATATAAATCAAACTTGTTATTAGTTATGAGATGTACAGCTCAAGACCTCTCACAAGCAAATGAGAAGTAAAATGATACAGGAAAACAAAAGCCTAGTTAGGCAGGATGGTCTGAGGCAGAGACTGAAGAGGAGATGATAGTGCAAACCAAACTCCCTGCAGCAAACACCCTCAGCAAAGTGCCTACTAAAATAACTGTGCACTTCTGCTGTCCAAAGCATGAAGATTACTTCCCTAAATTATGAATAATAAAATCAAGTCCAGTAACACAACTATGAACCCACAGAACAGCCTCTTAAGCAGTTATATATTTCACCCTCTATAAAATGACAGAAGTTACCTATATCCAGAGCCCATTTTATGGCAGTGCCGACGTCTGATATAGAGCCTTCAGTTAAATAAACAACTTCTTCCCCAATTTTCCAACCGATCAGAGGATAAAGACCTTCATTATTTTCCAGGAAACAAAACATTCCGTTAAAATAAACCTTTCCAGAAAAAAATAGACAACCATTCCTCACAATAAACCCACCTGGAAAATGTCAATTTCTTCGTAGAATTCAAACTAAAGAAATCACTGGCAGAGGTTAAATGTGGTTGTTTTTTTTTTTTTTAATATAAGAAATTGTGCATACCTAACAATTTATCAGTGTTTTTCTATTTAAGTCCATCCAACTTTTCCCAAGGGTTTCTAAAAAGGAAGAGAGTTTTTCCCCAAAACATAAAGCATGAAGGCTTGGCTCTCAGATGGGAAACACAAAACTGAAACAGACATACACACACAAAAAAAGTAACAGAAACTTAGAGCACAGAACTTATTCACAGAAGAGGATGAAAGTGATGTACTTTTTAATTTCCTGTTTAATATGCAATGCTTCCTCACACAGAAAGCAAAAAAGAGAACGAGTTTCACCTGCACTTCAGCTAGAGAAATGGTTTTTCAGGTCACAAGATAAGGACCCAAGCAGTCAGTGGTCACTGCAACAACTTCACCCAATCAGGCACAGTAACTGTTGGAGTGAAGAAAGTGCCCGTACTTCATGGAGCCCTGCTGAGGACTCAGAGATCATGGGTACTGCAACAAAGGGAAACGAGTCCCAGTGTACTTTTACAAGGACCAGAAAAGCATCAGAAGGATCTAAAGGTTTTCTCTGCTTTCTCCAAGTGACTTTGCTGATATATTTGTTCCTCACAGAATCATCTCCAGTTTGCTTGCCTGTGTCCAAATGAGTTGTGTGGGAGTACCAGTGGAATAGCAGGAACTTTTGTTAGTACTGGGGCACTCAGGTGCTTACAATATAAAACAATTAGCAGCACTGATTAAAGTCTGTATTTGTCTCTTGAAAGGGCAATGTAATATATATTACTCGAGATCATCCTGGTGCAGGTGTCCCTTGAAATCTTTATTTTTTACCAAAGGTAAAGCCACAAAGAAAAAAACAAAAAAAAAAAAAATTAATTGAGCCAAAGATGCTAAAGAAGAGCAGCTAATGAGGGACAGAGACATCCATCCATCACGTGGCCTCCCTAAAGACGCTCACACCAGAGTCTCTAGCAGGGTAACATAATCCTACCTCTAGGGAAGGTATCCCCATGACACTTGCCATGACCAGAGGTATTAAGAACCCTCAGACTACCAGGGGTAGCTTTAAACCTATACAACATGATTCCATCACTGAATTGTGGACAGGCTGCTCTTGAAGGAGCTACTTTATTCTTCTTTTTTTTCAAACTGTTATACGTAGGAGCTAAATGTAGACCAGCAACTAGAACAGGATGCTGCAGGGATTCATCCTGCAGTCTTAAATACATATGTCAGCTTTAAAGATTGAACACATTACATTTCATGCCCAGGGCACTGAGAAAGCCAGGCACTTAACTTGTCCCACTAACCATACCCCACAACAGCCGAAGAACACAGGGAAAATAATTTTAACAAAAGTAACAGCCCAAAGCAGTAAAAGTTTCACAGCATTGCCTTAGAAGATTTTAACTCCTAGCAGAATACAATAGCTAACATTTTAACAGACTATATATGTATTATTTCCTAAGTAAAAATATCATAATAATGACATAATTAATCAGCACAAAAAGCATTTGCATTCATAGGGAATTCAATGTCTATGCTATTCAGCTCCGACAAAACTCATGTATTGGCCAAGGTCCTTTAAGTCTTGAGCTGGTGAAATTCTCTTTGTCACACTGCTGTCCTCCCTCCCAGCCCCACTCCACTTTAAGCAGTAGACATCCTGAAATTAGTAACACTTCAAAAATATGCCAGACAGAGAGAGACTGTAGGCAAATTTACTTCAGTGTCATCTTCAGTGTTTGCTCTCTTGACAAATAGCTATCTGACAAATTACTTGACAGACCACACATGTTCAGAATGACAAAGTTTTAAACACTAGAAACACACTGGGGAGCCCATTTTAAAAGAAAACTTATAACTTATAATCCTGCATTATCTCATTGCATGTTCTTCAGTGCTTAAGGGCTCAAGGGGAGGAACTTGCAATGATTCACTGCAACATTTTGATGTGAGAAGCCAGAGGACCAATCCCTTTTTTCTCCTATCCTGTACAATACTGCAATGAAGAACAGGTGAAGGAAAAAACAAAACAGGAGGGATGCAGATAGCAGATATAATTACTAATGATGCTACTTAAGTTCTCTTCCTGAGAAGCTTGTTTTAGAATAACCAAAATTTACATTGCTAATTAAAACTTTCCACAGTCTTCTCTTCTGAAAGAACTCCCAAGCTGTTTTTCTACACTTATAGACAGAAGGGAAAGCACAGCCCTGCTCTATTCTTTTGTGTACCCTCAGCAGTAACAGCTATCAAGGAACAGCTGAAAGAATAAAATCCCCTAAAACCAAAACTTCACTGTCTTACTTCCCCGTGATGCAAAGAGATGCTCTCCAGTATTCACATTCCAGAAACCACCTGTTCCCATGGTCAGTTTAACATCTCCTGGGTGAAAGCAGCATTCTCCAAACATAGCTGACTGTTGGTCAGCTACCTGTCAATCCAACAAAAACAATGGGACAAGTTAGCTACCGCCTACCAACCTGCAATACTGGGTTTGAAAATATCTCTGTAAACACTTTGAGTTCTGAATACAAGTAACCACTCAGGAACTGAGCATTCAGAGAGGACTCTTTACAATTTCTTAAGCATTTGCAGGCCATTATAACAGTCAGACTTATCACTGGCATCAAATTACACCAAGTTTCACAGTGTGAAGTATCTGTAGGACTCCTTGCAACACTGAAAAACATTATGGAAACAAAAGAAGTATTTTGGGGTTTAATATTTAACAAGGATAAATGAGGCATTTACAATCCCAGGGAGCAGAACAGAGTAGCTTGGCCTGAATTCCTTTTTCTCCAAATAGAAAGCTCAAGTTTTGAAGTCTTGCCTTCCTTTTTCCTTGATACCCCTCCTGTACCAAATTATTCCACACTCCATTTTTCAACCATGATTATGGTTATTAAATGTATTTACTTATGTTTTTGCATTGGTGAAACAGTAAATTTACAGCTAGATTTAGTCCACAGTTCTTTAAAACAAGACAAATTCATGTTAGTTAGGGGACAGTTTTTTCATTTAGCTCAATTCAAGAAGATTTTGCTCCAAATCATCACTTTAGGTTTTCTTATCCAAATTCTAACTGCTGAGGAAAGAACATGTTATTTGCCACTTATTTTTAGTGAAAAATAAAAAAGGGATAAAAGGTACCACAAGTGGATCTATTAACAAATACTCTTAGAGTTGTTCAGTCTCACTGAAGTCAAGCCAGAATGGACTCATGCACAACTTTAGACAGCAACTGATTTTAAGCCAGACACACACATTACCAGAGCTTAGAGTCCTACATTCAGTACTTAATCATTTGGGCACACGACCTTAGTGGACCTCAACCTCTAGAAATCCCTTCTTGTTCCTTTCTCCTCCTTCCCCCTAAGGTTGTAGACTGAGTTTTTGGAGAAAAATTCAACAATCAATTCTATTGTAGCTAAATCACAGAGAATCAATAGAGAATACTAATGAAAGAAGCAAGTACTAAATTAAAGCAAAATAAACAGAGTATAAATACACAGACTTTAGAAAATATTTTCACTTACCGCTGCCATTATTGGAATAGGTACCCCAAATATTTCAGAGTCAGTTGATCCAAAGTTGAAGCTTAAAAGAAATCACATTAAAATGACCTTTCTGTTAAAATGAAATCTAGGTACATACAGCCTGGGTCTGGATCACACATAAAAGGTAACGCTACTGACTTATTTTAAGGAAAACATTAAAAATATCACTTTAGGAAACACAGTAAAAAATTTTGGACTTCATATACTATTAATACAAGGTATAACTACATGTAAAAATATTTTTGTGTACGTGAGTATTATTTGGCCTGTGCAGAATATTTAGTATTTCTTAATTAATCATAATTAATTTAGCAATCAATTTAACAGTTATAATATTTTTTAAATTATGCCTTCATAGTTACCTTGTATCTCTCACTGGTGGAAAAATAGACACTGGAATAGAAAGCAGATTGCACAAAGTGGGATTCCAACATTTCTGAAATTAAATGGAAAAAGTAAAAACATCAGCAACCATCTGAGAAGCACAATAAATAGCAACAACATTCTTGGGAACAGCACATACCGTAAAAGGTTCAAAAATGCCTGTGGAACTGGCATTTGAGTAATCTGTAGCATACACAGAACCTAGCATGAAAAGAGAGAACAAAGTAAGATTTTTAGACATCCAAATATTTAAGAGTTTTCTTTAAACATCTCATTGACTCCCATGAAATATAAATCAAGTGTGTAAGAGCAAAATCACAATGATACAATGAGCACAGAGATTTTACCTGCTGCTCACTATACTGTGCACACATTAATTACCCTATTTCCTCTCATGAACCTGTCTAGAACAGCCAACAGCACCACAATCATAATGTGACTCCTCCGGCATTAGTCCTCAGGACTGAAACTTGTAATTCTTCCACATTTGTAACAATTATTTGTTCTTTTGCTTTCACAGGTACTTTTCTTCAATCAAAACCAATTAGCTCTGTTAGTCCTTTTTAAATCTTATGCTCTTAGAAGGCTGATTACACTGAATAAATATTTCCCTTCTAGGCAGGCCCAAAGAATAATTTATTCAGAAGTTCTTTTTGTAACAGGAAATACAATTTTTATCAAATATACAAAAGCACAAATTGTAAAAACAGTATCTGAATTCTAGGATATATAAATGAGAAGTAATGAATATAATTTCTTAGATTCCAGTGTGTTTTACTGATATTTAAGAGGAACTGTAATGTTCACCTTTAGTCAATCTATACAGTAACCATGTGTCAACCGTCCCAAAGCAGCAGTTGTTTTTTTTGGCAGCTTCTTCAGCCTGGGAAAAAATATATAAAAAAAAAATTATTTACAACTGGGTACAATAAGAGAAGAATACTGAATATTTATTGATTGAATTCTTTTATTATTTTCTTAATGATTAATCAAAATGTCCTCAGAAAATACGTCTCTGATTGTAAACTTTTCTTCTAAAAAGGCTGAGCTGGCTATTTAACTAATAATATCCTACAAGTTCATGCTCCTAACAGAAAATAAGAACACTTTCTTACAGCTGCTTCTAAGGAATTCATCTTCTACTGTAGGGGCATCATAGCCTTATGAGAAGAAACTTATAGTCACAATTATAACAGTGGTGAAAGAGTGGTAGATAAAGAAAACAAGATCTTGCATGGTGAGTATTAGAGCAATGAACACAGCAACACATAGCTCAGGGCTCATTCGTGCACTAGATTAATCCAGCACAACTTATTCCACAAACATTTTCCAATTCACAAAAATGCAAAATGAATTGTGCAGCACGGTATTATTTGTGAAACTGCAAAACACTGGCATAACGCAGAGTGGAAAGGTAAGAGGTTCCACTGAAAAGAAATGAAATCATCATGCAAAACCAGAGGATAAAACAGCTTTAAAACAAAGTACAATCACTAATTGTATAAATGTGTCAAGTGAAATAAGATGACTTTATTATGTTGCTTATGTATGAAGAAAGCTTTTTGCTACTATGCCTTTCCAGAATGAGAGGAAAAATTTGTACAAATATAAGTTACTATTTAGGTAGACAGGCTTTGAACATTAACACAGAAAAAATCTGGTTCTTCTGAGAAGAATGAGCAGGACAAAACTGAAGCAATTACAGCCAATAGCCACAGTCATGGAATGGCCTGGACTGGAAGGGACCTTAGAGAGTTTCAACTCCACAGCCATGAGCAGAGACACCTTCCCCCTAACCACGTCACTCAAAGCCCCATCCAGCCGGGCCCTGAACACCTCCAAGTCACAAGCCATCATGATGACTTAAGAAACCTATTGCTTTTCCCTTTCCAGCTTACCTCATGTATGTTTTTAAAAACCCATGACAACTTCATTGAAGCTTGATGTGTTGAAAAAGTAAGAAAACTGGGTGCCAAATATCGATCATTCCCCGTCAAGAAATGAAGCACTGTAAAAATAATATGGATTACCTGTTCCAAAAGAAAACAGTTACTTAGTTTTTAATCTTGCCCTTTAAAGGTTACTGATCAATTACCTTTAAAGGATGACGACACAGATGAAAGCTGCTAACACTAGATTCAGAAAGCTAAAACTCCTTTAGAGGATCCTTGAGTAGGTTTATGTAAGGACAGCCTTCCTGCAACACACACCACAGGAAAGAGCAGCTGCTCTAAGCAAGGCTGCTTTAGCACCTTCTGCTGGAGCACTGACAGCCACTGCTCTGCATTGCCAGCACTGGTCACCTCTGTGAGCACAATGCTTGATGTGGCTGACAGCACTACACACTGTTATTCCAGTGGAAGTTCTCTTACTGTTCACAGGCTCAATCATGACTTAATAGATTTACCAAAATTTAATCATTAATCAAGTTTTCACAGAAGAAGTAACTGGCAAACACAGGAATTTAATTTCTTATTGTGACTGTGCTGGTCAGTTTCCACTTAGAGGAAAAGTAACTTCTGTTTTTGGACTTAGAGAAAATATTTCTCTTCTTAAGGTATGAAGCACAAGCCACAAACAGCATAAAATGTACCTCCTATAGATAATCTGAGCAAAGGATACATGAAAAAAGCAAGCCAAGAAACCAAAAGCCCAAACCACTTTCAACCCAGACCTACCTACATCCACAATCTATGCTGTAATGGTGTTAACATGCAATGTTTTAATATAACAGACTGAAAAATAACAAAATGAGCCTTAGACCTATAGGCATCTTTTTCCATAATAATTACTTTAGGCTACCAGTATTGAACTTTATTTCTTGGAACTATCTTCTGTGGATATTACCCAGTTAAATGTTTATTGCTCAGTAAAATGATGGTCACAGCACATCACATCACCATGTGAACAGGACACTTGCAGTACTCCATATAGTGCCCTTACTTGTCATAAAGTTAAACACCTCTAATATATCCAAGCAGTATCTAGATTAGTGCAGTTTTACCTTCAGCAGAAGGGAGTTATTCCAGGAATTCACAAGTTCAGCACTTCTTAAGTCTTGCCAACTTATGAAATTATGAAAGGGTTTCCCTGTTCTCCTGAAAAACAGTATTTGAACGATTCAAGCTAGAGAACACAAATTGCCCAAAACATTCAACATTATTCACCATTTCCAGGACACCAATCAGGACAACAAACGCTAGGTCAGTTCCTATAACAACTGCATATCCTCCTGGTGGATTTGAGGAATTATTAAATCAGCACACAGACCTCTGGAGCATCAGACTTCTCACCAGAATTAAAAATACGTATGTATTCATCTCTTCCAGTCTATAAAGAACAAAAAGGCCACACACTCACAATCTGTTCTGAACTCTCTAAGGTGTGGCTGTGCAAACACAGGAGAACATGAGTGATTTAAGAATTTTTACTTTTGAGTTGAACACCTCTACAGCCTGCTTCCATCCAGTTGATGGATCCAATACAAATGGATACAAATTAATTTTAAAGAACACAAAACATACATACTTGTGCCATGTAATGAAAGTTCCTCTCTGGGTGGAGATGCCAAGACCAGCAATTTGCCTCATGTGAAGTCCTGCAGCTAAAAAACGAAAATAAATGACAATCACAAAAAAATCATTTATTTGGAGAAGCAAAGAAAAATATTACTTCCTCAATATAACTACAAAACCTATGGAATACTTAGGAAAATAATAGTTTATGAGAATATAAATCTCTACAAATTGTTCAACTAAGTGTTAAGAGCATTGAAATGTTAGAGAGCTCTGAGTCAGACAACTGATTCCAAAGCAGATAAACAAACCTACGTATTTTGCAAAAGCAGTAGTGGCACACGCGCCCTTTCCACCCTCTGAAAGACCTGTTGATACTTTATATGAACAATCCCATACTTTATATGAACAGGCAGGCAGATTGCATAGGCCTACATAATCAATTAAAATTTGATTTTCACGTGGATGAATGTGAACAAAAGCACCAACAAAAGTACCTTTACAGACTTAGGGAAAGAATTTCTATAAAGAAACAAAACTAGATTGATCCTGCAGACAGTAAATAGATAAATATGAATATACCATAACTTTTGGCATCACTTTGATAATGACATGTCTCACTTTAAATATTTCTTAAGCCATGTTTCAGAATTCCTAAGAAAGAATTTGCTTAAATCAGGTACCACTGAATGTAACAAAGTATACTTTAAAGTCAGAAGCACAAAAATGTACATTTGGATATACATCAGTTTTGCTGTTAAACCTTACCTTCAAATAACTGTTACAGAACATTTTTTCTAACATAAGTGTAAATAATTAAATACGTCCATAGCTATTTTCAAAGCAGCTCTGGTCAGCTTGCTAATTACCCTCCAGCCATACTTACAGAAGCAAAATTACATTAAGCAAATACACATTAAAAAATTTCCGCTTAAATGACAGACTACCCACCCTGTCCTAAGTACTGTTACTCTGAAGGGCTCTCAATCCAGCTTCTTAAACAAATCACAGGTTAAGTAGGTCCTGCCCATACGTGATCTCATGTTAATTTTCACGTGCAAAGTTGCTCATTTGTATGAGCATGTCCTGCAGACTTTACACCCAGCACCCTCTCAGTGACAATTACAGAAGGGGTTTCACAGAGAAAGCACACATCCTGTGCTACTCAACTCTACGTGTGCTTCTGCACCTCCCCTTACACTGGGTCCTTGCATTCCTGCCAGCAGTGCTATCAATTCCTCAATCAGCTGAAAATTAAACCAGTGCTTTCGCAAGGCAACCTGCTCCACCTGCCTGCACAAGTGCTGCTGGTGGCGGGAGGGTACGGGAGGAGGACCTGGGAGTGGGTGGCCTGAGAACAGCACTATTTCTTTTTCAGGCAAAGCCACAGCTTTCAAGCACTTCCACAGCTCACTAAGGACTACTGGCATGTGTTACTCCTTCCCATCTCCACAATCTGCACAGTCCCACCACTTTCCCTGCGTCAGCTACCATACTCTCCAGACACCCATGTAAGTGGAGCTAACTTCCACTACAGACAAAAACAACTCTAAAGACAAACATGGATATTTTTCAGTTAAGCTGTCTTCTGGGGGAGTGCCACAGTAAGAGAGTTGGGACCATGCAGGCAGAAGTTTCCACCTTTAGGTAGTACTGAACTGCAGCAGCTCATCCACACGTGCACGGAATCACGTTTAGCCCTGCAAACCCAAGCGTCACTGCACTCCTTCTGCTTCCAGACAGTCATTCCTGTCCTGCTACCACACCCTCTCTTGCGTCAGCACAAACATTGGTGAAACTCTGCTGGCATAAACAACAGGACAGTGATTCCACACAGGAAGCTGCCCTAGACTAGGAAAACTCTGTAGAAAAGGGGTGGCACTGATTCTTTTGACAGCACTATGAGTTATGCTTACACACCCACTTAAAAATAACTTGCCAACAATGTGTGCAGCTTGGCCACAAGGAAATCTTCCCTTTTTAAAACTACCTGAAAAGTCTTGCTTCCTGACTTGTGCTACAGAATGGAAATGAAGGAAGACAGTAAGGTCTTTGGGGGTTGCGGTGGCATTACTGTTCTTGTGACCAAACGGTTGTGGCTGCTGACAAAACAAGCCAAGAGCCCAAAATAATCAGCTTCAGCTTGCACCTGGTGATATTTACTTTCCCTGTTCATTAGGCAGTCTTCCAAAGGAAGGGACAAGCAGTTTTGCCACGAGCCATGTTTGAAGAGAGCAGAGCAACACTGGAGATCAAGCAAGAGGGGCCAAACAGGAGGAACTGAACGAATTGAATGAAAGAGTGCGATGTGCACACACAGGCCAAGGAGGCTGGGTCACTGTGGGAAGGCAAGCTGGGGTCCAGGTGACAGGTTCACAGCACCAACATGGCACAGGTGATCCAGGATGGATGGATGGCAGAACACTAGAGGTAGATTAATATGAAAGCTGTGAGAGTGGTAGAGAGTAAGAGCTAGGTTAGAGCAGCATCCAGAAAAGTGGGGGGAAAAACCCATCAGAGATTTATCAGAAAAGGGAGTTGTATGTATTCAGTGTGTGAAGCACTAGGAATTTTTAGGCTAAAGTACAAATAGAAAAGAACAGTAATACAGGAATAGGATGGTAAGAACCACTTAAAGTTTGAATGGGAAAAGGAGGAATATCAGGTTGCAAGGGAGTGAGCCCAGCTCTGCAGCATCCTGCACTCATTCTCACTTGCACATACAAAGTGGTGGTAGAACAATGGGGCACTGGAAGGGGAACAAGCCTGCTCTCTGTTCCTGCACAGAGGCATCTGGAGGAACAGACACTGGGGAAGGATGCATATACAAAAAGCTGGAGCCACAAAGTGCTGGCACTGATGCATAAATCAAGTATTCACATTGCTTCTACTTCAATCCTAATCTGGCCCCAATGAAAGGAAAAAGGTAATTGAAGAACCCTAATTTACATAATGATTGAATAGGCCTTAAAGCATGTAGTCCTGTGCCCAGTGATGATTTTCAGTACTAGCTAAAAGTAGTTCTAATATCAAATTAACTAGCTTCACTAATTTTGATAAACAATTTCTCAAAATTTAGGCCCTTACCTTGTACAGCCTCTTTTATTACACCAATAAATTGACTCCATAGAACTTCAGGATCTAATTCAACCCATCCAGGATGAGGATAAAGTGATTCTACCTGTTAGGCAAACACAAATAGCACAATTATGATCTCTAGAAATCAGCAAATACGTTTGGGTTGTTTTGTTTCATTGTTCATTTTGTGAATCTCTTGCAAGAGTAGAAACAACAGGGTACCTTTTAAAACATTGTTCAACATGGCTGTGTGATCTCTAGAAGACCTCCTCTGTTCCGGGGGAATAAAGAAGCTCAAACCCCTTGAAATAAGGAAGACTAAACCTCTTGGAATACAAGAATCTGTAAAACCCCTTCCAGAGCTGCAAACAGGAAAGCAAGTGTCTCAGAAAGCCGTTTCTGCTGCATTGCTTAATTCTGACGTCGATGCCTCTGAGCTTCTCAGTGCAGCACAGCAGGCCAGGGATCACCTGGCAGACGAGCTTCCAGCGTCAGGGAATGAGCTCCACCGAGAGCAGCCCCTTCCATCTCCACAATCCATCAGATTTCTTACACTTCTCCTCGCTGCAAGCTTTTCATTGCAGTAACAGTAAAAAAAGTTAATTCTGGAGACTGCCTTGATCCTAAAATCACAAGCAGTACCAACCAAAAACAGCCTGAAATTCATGTTCTAAAGTTGACACTTTTCCACATAGCACTGTTACATGATGGGACGCGTGTAAACCTAAGTCCTACGCAAATCTCAGCTATGCCCTACTAACAGAAGTGGTTTTGTTCAGAAAGAGATTAGTCGATAAGCGACCGAAGGTAAGGTAACCAGGAAGGGTGGGAGTGGGTGAGCGCCGAAGTAACGGGGTGAGCGCTACGGCGGTCCCGCGGGGGTGGGGGGCTCTGGGTTTCCTTTCAGCCCTCGGGAGGCGGAGCCGCTCCTGTCCGCCCTGGCTCAGGGAATGTCCGCGCACCGGGACCAGCCGAGCTGGCTGAGAGCCTCTGCGAACGCCTGCACGCCGAGCCCCGACGGGCAAGCCCCGCAGCCTCTCGGGGGCCAGCAGGTCGGAACCGCTCGGGGCAATGCAAGCACGCTCGGCCCCGCTCGGGGCAATGCAAGCACGCTCGGCCCCGCCCGGCTCCCGGGACAGGTGCTGCTCTCGCCTCTCGGCCCCGCTCTGCACCGGGGGCGCGCCCCGCAACCCGCCCGCACTCACCTTCCTGTAGCTGGAACCCCTGACGGTGGCCGCCCGGTCGTAGACGTGGCACTTCACCACCGTGCTGCCCACGTCCACCCCCAGCACGTAGCGCGTCGGGGCGGCCCCGCTGTCGGGCTGCCCGCACGGCATCGCCCGGCGCGGCACGGCCCGGCGCGGAGCGCGGAGTGAGGGCGGCCGAGCGGCCGCGCCC